TATAGTCTCTAAAGCATGTGTATCCCTTTGCTTGTTTGTTTTTTCATTTTTTTTTTTCATAATTTCACCACATTATGGTTGGTATTTATTATTAATGATCACAATGTACGATGAAGTGCTCTCCCTTAGAGACAGGGTGAGAAGCTCGATCATCCGGGAGGGACTCGGAGTAGAGCCGCTGCTTCTCCACGTCGAGAGGAGCCAGTTGAGGTGGCTTGGGCATCTGTTTAGGATGCCTTCTGGACGCCTCCCTGGTGAGGTGTTCCGGACACGTCCCACCGGAAGGAGGCCCAGAGGAAGACCCAGGACACGCTGGAGGGACTATGTTTCTCGGCTGGCCTGGGAACACCTCGGGATTCCCCCGGAAGAGCTGGCCCAAGTGGCTGGGGAGAGAGAAGTCTGGGCCTCCCTACTTAGGCTGCTACCCCCGCGACCCGACCCCGGATAAGCGGAAGAAAATGGATGGATGGATGGATGGATGGATGTACGATGAAATCTTTGATTCAAGGGCTTGACAACATTGGAGGGATGAGGAGGTGATGAAAGCCAGCCCTGTTATAGACACTCATATTGGTATGTCAGTGATGAAGCTGTTACTTTGTGATAAAGTTCTGCAATTTTCTTTTCTTTTTATTTATTTATTTTTTACTATGAAGACCTTCTATGCTGCTGTTTCTTGTGAAACATCATTCTACAGTTGTCTGCATTTACCCTTTGCCGTGACACAGTAACTGTGCTACAATTACCACGCAATGCAGTTCTCAGTAAACTCTCTTACAACTCATAGAAAACAAGTCTTAGAGTTTGCCATGGGCTCTATCAACAACCAAGTGATATTCTATTCATAGAAAATTCAGTTACCAAAAATACTTTTGAGAAATAAAACATAATTTTAGCTACACTGGAAATATTATTCTATCAACATTTCATTGCTTTCCCCGCCTTTGAAATCTCATGAATGCTTCACCCTCTACAATTATTATTTTAAACTGTTGAAAGGAAAAAAAGTGAAGTGATTATGAATAAAGAATATAACAGAAGCTAGAGTTAAGATGTTGGAATGTAACATTTTATTTAAAGAGTTCATTGAATGTGAATACTTTAAATATTGTTACAAATTTAAGAGGCAAATCCTTCTTTGCGACTGGCAAATTTTAAATCAACAATCTAAAAAGGTAACCAAATCAATATACAATAGATACAATAGATTACAATAGGGTTTCATTTGAACTCTTACAAACCCGACCCGTCATTCAAACAACATCTGTGCACTTCTTTCCAGATTCTTCTGTTGTGTTCAGTCACGTTTTCACAAACTATTTGCCTGCTGGCTGTTAGAACATTATATGATGAAGTGGGAATATTTCTACCTCTTCTTCTGTTGTGTTCATGTTTAGTGTATTAGACAGCTGGGATCTTCAACAATGAAGGAGAAGCAGCAGCGCAAGGAGACTGAGATCAGCTTTCTTAGTTGTAAAATATCAAAAACCATTCCTGATAAATGTGTAAACCTTGTTCTTTACACTCGTTATCTGATGGTTTATTTACAGCATAAGCATGGTCTTACTTAACTGACTAACTCAAGCTCATTAAATAATAATTATAAGTCGTAAAACTTCATATTTAATTCATCATATAGCTTTAAACTAAATACAGTTAAGCCTATAATGCCAAAAGCATGTGAAAGAACAAAGCAAAGGATTAGATATGCTGTACACCTTGGTGCTGTGAGGTCAAATAGATTTTAAATGGTGCAAAGCCATCCTTGGAGCTCATAAGCTTCTGTGGCGAACAATGTTTTGACATACTTTCTAACACCTGATTATCATACAAGTTTAATTTCATACATATAAGTTATACTTTTCCTCTGCAGGGTAGCAGGCTGTTCTCACCCGTAGTTGTTGCCTATTAACATAAAAATCCCAAACAAGATGAAGCATTTAGTTGCACATGCACCAGTTACTTCAATAATGGATAGTTCAGAATGTTCAGGTGGTTTTCTGTGGAGGTTGTTCCTTAGTAGCTGTCTTACCTGCAGACATGTTTGTGTGCAAGTAAACCTAGTCAAGGTGGAGTTGATTGCAGAGTGGATTTCAGCCATCTAAACCAACCTAAAGCAGTTACATAGCCTTAAAAACACTTCAACTGTTCAACCCATTCTTTTGAGATAAAGGAAGGCAAAGCTGATATTTAAAACACTTGTCCCTCTGATATTACAGTTGAACTCTTCATGAGTGTGTGAATGTAACTGGTTATCCATGACTATGTGACTTTGATGGACTGGCAGCCTGTTCAGAGTGTACCCCACCTGTCGCCAAATGACTGCTGGAGTTGGGCATCAGCTCCACCCAATCTTGAACAAAATCAAGATGGATGGATGGATTCCAGAACATTTACTTTTTTAAATAACTTCTTTTGGTTCATTCATTTAATTTATTAAATTAAATTAACTTTAATTCAGTTTCACTCACTTTATCACAAACTTCAAACACCAATACATATTATGTGCATGGGATCACTTTTATAATGGCATAGTTTTGTTAGGCCCCCTCCCTCTCGGTTTTCAAGTCCCGTTTAAAAACCCACTACTATTCAGTAACGGCCGTATGATTTTTCCTGATTGATTGCTTAAGTTGTTATTTTCATAATTTGCCAAATTAATGTAAATGTTTGATGTTAAACTTTGATTCTGTAAATAAATGACCGCATTCATTTTGATGGGTCAAACATAAATGACGTCTCACGTTTGCATTTCATTAAATTCAATGCACGTTTTATTCAGTTCAGAAAAATGAGGAATCCGCGTTAATTGATGAATATATCTGAGCATCTGTTCATCTACACATTCAACACCAAATGATCTGTGTTTTGAACCTGTATGCTCCACACTGGTTAGTCATCATTATCTGCATCGTTTTTACATCTATATTCCGATTTACTTCATTTTGTATTTTGCTTGGTGTGTTACCTGTTGTTCTGTCTGTACAGCACTTTGGTTGGCCTTGTCGCTGTTTTGAGTGCTCTATAAATAAAATGGTATGGTATGGTATGGTTAGGTACCTACAACAAATACATGAGAACCAGAACTTTTATGTCATCAGCTATACATCTGATCCAGCATGCAGCTCAGGTTCCCTATATGTTTAGAATTGATGTACTGTAAAAACCGAAAGCAATATTTAATGTATTTGATCAATT